GGGTCACTCGAAATATATTTGCTTTGCGACAGACCCACCATTTTGAGATAATTGGCTCTGATTTCGAGCAATGCCGTATTATCAGTGGCATAAACCTTTAGCAGTCTCTTGATGCCCTATCAAAGCTACTCCATTTATTTCAGTTAACTTTTAGCATAACAGAAAGGGTTCTGGATGCTAAAGTAATGAGTTGGGACACTGAGGTCAAATGCATATCGAGTTCGAGGGTTTCAGAGATAGTTTGCTGAAGGCTAACTCACGTGCGGGCTAGTGGAGCTCGGAGGGTCTAACCTGACTGGCTGGAAAACCTGCTGCGCTCATCCAGAAGGTCTCCACGGGGGGGGGGTTAAGTCCCACAGTTTCAAGACTGAGCACATCACTATCTCAGAATTAACTGTGTTACGAATGTCACTAACCGTTGCATTGATAAACACTCCCTTGGAGAGATACAACATGTTTCCATCATTGACAACAACAGTAACAAGATATCTATATAGTAAATAGATTATAAATGTTGCATTTGCTCATTTCAGATTTGGAGTTTGTCCATGAGGAAGTCGCAAAGGAGAACCTATGAGACGTTCACTCGTTTATTCTGATGGCTTGAAGAAAGAGATGAATTGTCTGCATATAAATTGTCTCATTCTTTCAAGTTCAGATGAGAAATGTGAGCATTTGGCTGACAAAGCTGAATCACTCCAAGATGGCACCGCAGGTTAGTCTAAGCTTGCCCTGTTCCTCTCCCTCCAGCAAGCATTGCTGTCCTCTTCGGCAGTCTCCGCTGGCAAGGGTAATGTAAACAGGAAGTCTGGGGCTTCAAAACACCTCAGTGAGAAAAGAGCCAAGACATGGAGCCAGAAAGAGTGAATGGAGGTTAAAGGGAATGCGGTGTTATGTCAGCTTTACCAGTCCTGATCCGGAGGTTCTTTCCTTTTGGGCCTGCTTTCTACCGAATTCCTTTGGTAAAGTTAGGGACGGTCCCTTCTTTTTCCTCAAGAAGTCACAACATTGTGCAAGTCCTAACAGGGAAGGTGTATACAGTAAATGGACTTTTACAAATGTTTTTATTTAGGGACGCCTGGGTGGCTAGGTAGGTTAAGCGCCTGACTCTGGCTCAGGTCATGATCTCAGGATCCTGGGATCAAACCCCACATCGAGCCCCATGTCGAACCTCACGTCAAGCGTCATGTCTGGCTCTGCACTTGGCAGGGAGTCTGCTTCTCCCGCTGCCCCTGCTTCCCTGGCCGACGCATGCTTGCTCGCAAGCTCTCTCTTTTTCTCTCAAATAAATAAAATCTAAACAACTGTATTTATTTAATATTTACATATGAAGGAGAAACAACTACCCCCCTGGTGACTATTCCCCCTATTTTTTTTTGGATTGGAAAGTTGAGGTTCAGGACAACTCACATCATTCAAGGTATTTAAGGTGCTGTTTCTATTAAGTGAGAAAGCTGGGTCTCAAAGTCAAGTGTTCTGATTTCTTGCTTAGAGCTTTTGCCTACACTTCCGATGTACCAGGGCATAGTCTGGGACTCCGTTTTATTTACGTATTTTTGTATCCGAGGCCTAGAACCATGCCAGGCATCGAGTATATATTCATTAAATGTTAGATGAAAAGTTAGGATTTATTGTTTAATACTTTCCCTTGTGAGGAGAAAGATGCTACCTCAACCGTTGTAAGGGAATTTTGGCACCTTACGAGTTCGGGAAGTCCAAGTATACAGCGGGAAGGGAAGCAGGTTCAGAGCTGCTTGCCCACACTCTATTTTCCTTCCAAGGTAGACGCTCAAATGTTGAGTGATTTGAAGGACACTCCTCAGAAGTCAAGAATTCACTGAATGATGGCACTGTTTCTGTGGCTGTGCTACTGCGTATTTCCTGCTCTGTGCCCACCTTCTAGGTTCACAATCTCAGATGTCACTGAGGACAACAAGTTTCCTGTCTGTCCTTCAAGAGGTTACTGGGGACAGGGTGTCACCCAATCTCACTGTGCTGTAGGAGACCAAGTATTGTATAATGAAATAAATCCCCTCTAAGTCTTTCCTGGGGACTGCCAGATGCCTGATTCCCTATTTTGTATGGGTGTTTGATGCGGGAAAGTGACCCCCACAAAAGCTTAGAAAGGCCTGAAAGGCAGCTGACAGGGGCCTAAGGGAGAACGTCCTTTAAATAAATAAGACCCACAGCTGTAGCAAAGTAAACCAAAGTGATAAGGACAGAAAAATAGAGCCTGGAGAAAGTCTGTCATTTAAAAAAAAGTGAAAAATGAAAAAATAAAGGCTGTGATAACAACCAACCAAAAAAATCAGCAGAACAAAAGGAGAAAACTCGCATCATTTTCTGCCCCAGAATATCATCATTGTTGAAAGGAGGTGTTTTGAAACAAAGGATGATGTTCAAGTAGTTATACTTGACCGATATTTTTTAATGATTGCCATCTCCTTTATCTTAGAGAGGTAAGTGGACTGAAGTGGACAAGGGCCTCTGTTTGGGACCATTGGATGGGTCTTTTCTCCTGTACTGAACAGAGTTTGCCAAGACCAGGAAACTGAACACCACCTAGCAAGCTTTCTTGTCTTATTCTTAGAGAACTGCTCATCATTGAAAAGGCTTCCTGATAAAAGATACAAAAAAAATGACCAATTATGAAATATCACATAGTATACATTTTGTATAACTTTCTAACAGTCAGTGATCTCAGCCAAGGACAACTTGATCTCTTCCTTTTTGCCTTATGCCGTCTCTATTTAAAAAATCTACCGCACGATTTTACATTTCCTCTTTCACATCCCTTATTTTATATCTTATGTTCCTTTTCTACCTTTGCCCTCCTACTTGAAAAAAGTCCCCAGGCTCCGTTGTGTTTTGGCCACATACTCCCCTTACTCTCATGGTGCATGTTTTCTGTCCAGCTGCTTTCTGTCTCTCTCTGGAGCCTCTTTATACACTGCAATGAGCTGCCCTGTGTGCAATTCTAATCTTAGTTTTATTTTCCATGTTAGTTGCATACCCTCATTTATGTTTTTCAGCATAGATTTCCAGCAAAAAAGTTTATGTCAAATAAAAACAATAGCTTTAACGATGTTTAAAAAAATCACACAAGTATTGCACAAAATTAGGCAACCTGCAAACCATTTAAAAGTAACCTGTTAATGGAATTTTCGTTCTTTTCCAAAACCCCCAACAAGGCCCGGTCTCCGCGAGTAGGATTTGCTCTCCCAATGCCCCTCCCCCGCGTTGCTGCAGATTCTGGCCTGGAGTCCCGGCTCATCGGTAAAGGGATCTACTGCTGAAACTGCTCCGCGCTCTGGGAAGAAGATACAACCGCGGCTAAAACTGTGTTGTGCGCCTTCTCGTATTTTACAAGGAACAGGACGATTCACAGAAAACGTGCAGGAGAGCAGACAGCAGAAATCTGTTCCTCGGGCTTGACGACTAGATGAGAGCTCTGGAGCGTGCTCTGCCTGGATCCGTGTGCCTGGCCGGCGGCGGGACCGAGGAGCGCGAAGCCGGTGGCCGGGAGTCTGGGGTCCCCCCGAGACACTCGGTGTGAAGGTCTCTCTGGCCTAAGGCACCACTGGTTCAGCTTTTGGCTCCTCCCCAGAAGAGCTGCGGCCTCTCCACGATAACGTTAATTATGGTGCACAGTAAGTGGTCATTTACGGTGGCCGAGGACCCAGAAGCCTTGGGGGTTCTCGTTCGAACAGCAGCGCGACCGCCACCTCCGGAGGCCGGGACTGTGATGAGCCATGTCCGTGCGCCCTGTCGCCGCGCGCGGGCCTAGCCCCCTTGTGCATTTGTTTTCCTGACGGAGACACGTCAAGGTCTATCCATTAAAGAGAACCGTGACGACGAGCCTCCTGTACCCACCACCCACCGTCACCGACTCAGCTTCTTGCTCATCTCGCTTCATCCGTCGTCTCCATCCTCCCTCTTCCTATGAGACACTGAGAAGCACACACGGGAGACGGGCGCGTGCTACTCGTGTACATTCCTGCAGGCGCCCCACGGTCTTAGGAGAACGCGACAGGTTAGAGCAAGGCGGACCGGCAGCACAGAATAAAGGCTGTCCCGCTATCACAGCTCTCTGGAGGCAAGAGGGGGACACTGCAGGGACCGGCGGCGGCGGCGGCGGCGGCGGCGGCTGGCAAGGCCTGGACCCCAGGGTCAGGGCTCTCTGCCTGCGGAGCTAACAGGCATGCGCAATCCGAGCCCCAGAGTTGCTAAGGCCCCAAGGAAGACACAAGCTCCGGATAAGACGAAAGCCAATCAGAGGGCTCGAAGACGAATCGGCCAGCCAATCCGGATTCGAGATTGCATCAGCTGCTCCGCGTTCTAATCGCTCGACCAGTATCCAATCGGAGAGCGGGCTGCTTTGGGCGGACTTTTCAAAACAGCAAAAGCAAAACAAATGGGGACCTTTAAAAGGTGCACTGCGACCAGGAACTATCTCCTTCCGCCTCCCCAACCTACCGGTCCCTTTCCTTCCCCGTCCCCGGATCACTCGCAGAAAGCCGACTTCCAGCTCTCCACCCTCCGCCCAGGATCGAGAGGGAGAAGCGGCTCGGCCAGGCCCGGGGGTGGGGTGGGGGGTGGGGGGGGGGGGAAGAGGGCGCAAACCCGGCCGCGGACCCCGGCCCAGAGCGGGACTCTTTTTTAAAGGCTTCTGCGGCAGCCGCGGATCCCTCCGCGGGGAGTCACGTGCCCCGCCCCTTTGGGGGCGTCGAAAACTCAAAACAAAAACACGGGATCTGTTTCGGCCTCCGCGGTGGAGGCAGCGGTGCCCGCCGGAGACTGGGCTCGCGGGGTCGGTGCTGCGCCCCAGCTGGAGGGTCGGCGCCCGCGGAGCAGGATGAAGCGCGGGCTGTGAGGCGGCGGCGGCGGCGGCGGCGGCGGCGGCGGCAGGGGCTGGGGGAAGGGTCCGATGCGGGTCCGGGGGCAGCGCTGAGGCGGCGGGTCCCCGGCCTCCGGAGACAGGTTCGGACGCCCCCGCCGCGGCTCGCGGTCGCCGGTGGTCGCTGGACCGCGACGCCGCGGGCTGGTGGAGGCGCGGCTCCGGCGCGGTGAGTGGGCTCGCGGGGACCGCGGGGTTTCTTTGTTCGCGGTGGGGACTGGGCCGGGGGTGGTGTCGGCGTCCCCCCTCGTCAGCCCGGGGGCGACTCCAGCCCTGCCTCAGCGGGCGGTGGGCTCTGGACGCGGAGGGATGCTGGCGGGAGGGGCGCAGTCCGGGCGGCCGAAGGCAGTTCTTTGGTCGCACCCCCCAGCCCCGTTTTCACGGGGGTCGCTGGGGTGGTGCTTCCTGGATTGACAGCCCCGGGGCTCGGCGCGGTGGAGGCGCCTGGGCGCCCGCGGACGGACGGTGTCGTCTGAGCACGGGCGGACCGCAGTGTCGGGTCCCGCCGCCCTCCCGCTCTCGCACCGCGCTCTCGTCCCTCGGGTGGGTCCGGGGCGGGTGGATCCGGGGTAGGCTCCGCCGCGGCGGCTGCGGACGGCTCGGGGGCTGGACGCTGGCGAGAGGGGCTCCCCGGGCGAGGCGGGGCTCGGCAGTCTCCACCCTCCGCTTCTTTGTTCGGTCGCGAGACTTTCTCCCTCCGCCCCCCCCCCCCCCCCCGTGCGAAGCGCCCATCCCGGCCCGGGAGCCGCGGCGGCCCCGGGGGCTTTCTGCGAGGAGAAGCCCCTCCCCCCGCGGCCTCCGGTGGGGCGGCCGCCCGGACGCCGCCGCCCGGGGCGGCTTCCTGTTTGCGAGGCGGCCGGGAGGCCGGGGCTGGCCGGTCTGACCCGGCGCTGGCCGGCGGCCGACCCGCGGCCCCTCCCCCTGCCACACCTCCCCGGAGGCGGGGGAAGCCTGCGCTGGGGCTCGGGAGGACGTGACGGATCCCCTCGCCCCCTGCTCCCCGGGGTGTGCCAGGCGCCTCCCGCCCGAGGTACCGGCGCTGGCTCCTTCCTGCCCCCAACCTCCCCTCCTCCGGTGCCCCCCTAACCGCGCGGTGTCTTCGCTGCAGATGAAGGACCTGGGGGCAGAGTACTCGGCGGGTCGAGAAGGGGTGCAGCTCTTCGGATTGCTGAGCCTCTATCTGGAGCAGGAGCAGAGATTCCAACCTCGGGAGAAAGGGCTGAGCTTGATCGAGGCTACCCCGGAGGTAAGCGCACGGAAGGGCTCCTTTCTCAGGCACCTGACCGGGCTCGGAGAAGGACGGCTCCCCCTGCCCGCGCCCCCCAGTTGATTTAAGGTTAAAGGCTGCAGAGTTTCTTAAGACCAAAATTTGTTTTCTGGAATACGAAGCTGCATCTTGCAGGGTTATGCAAGAATGAGAGTGCCGTGAACTCCAGAGAAGCGTTTCCTCGGACGTGCCGCCCGCAGCCTGCCCCTTCTGGGTGGGAGACTCCCCGGGAACCGAATACTTCGTTTGTGGGACTCCCCTCTGCCCCTGAGATACTCCACAGTAGGCTCTTAGACTTTTTATTTAATAAAACAAACGGTCTCTATTATAGGGGAATTATTTCTGCTGTAGTTCTCTGGAAGTGTGACAGCAGTTCACTTTATGTTGGATTGCTGAGGCATTTATGTGCGCGCGCGCGCTCTCTCTCTATATATTATGCTGTATATTTTTAAAAAGCCATGGTATAGCTGTGTGTCTTGTATTTGAAAAAGTGTATCATTAGTTATTTGATACCACTCTTTCCTCCCATAGTCTTGAAGGTTAAGAAAAAAAAAATGACTTTATTTGATTGTAATTGTGTGTATTTATCCATCTAGTTCTAGGGAAGTCATAACTTTGGTTCTTGGTTTTAATTGCAGGATGATAACACTTTGTGTCCAAGATTGAGAAATGCCAAAGTAGAAGATTTAAGGAGTTTAACCAACTTTTTTGGATCTTGCACTGAAACTTTTGTCCTGGCTGTCAATATTTTAGATAGATTCTTGGCTCTTATGAAGGTATCGAATCCCTTTTGTATACGCATCTTTATCTTCCTAAACCTAGTGCTCAGCACAGTGCCTAGCATACGAGTGTTCGATAAACGTTTGACAAGTGAATGTAATTATGTGAAACATTTTTAATTGGAATTAGGACCTTCAGTGCCAGAGTGAGGGACTACAGAATTAACTGTGTTGTATTTTATGTTTCGCTGTTACCATTGATGCACCTTCTCTTTGATAATGTGACAAAACGGAGACTGCTGTTTTTAGGTATTACTCAACGTACCTACGCAGTCCTTAGAATGAGGTTTTTGTATTTTTATATCCCATCATGTTTCTTTTGGAGGTTCATTGTTTCTAATACTGGAACATGACAAATGGAAGTATAAGGGTATATTAAAGGTGACCTACTGCCTTCCCTGCGAGAAGTCTTTTCAAAGCAGGGAGCCATAGTCTTATTAACCAGCAACTGTTAGAAAAATGTGGTGATTCTTGGGCCAATAGGATTGCTGTCAGCTGCTGGGTCAGTTTTCAGGACACTGAAAAGAAAAGGGCAGCCATCTGTCCACGGCAGCTTTACATATGCTCTGCACAACTGATGCAATATTTCTCTTGGGCAGATTTGCACTGAAATGTGGGTTGATACTTAAATAGAGAGGATAAAAAGATAAGTCACATGTGTTATGTTTATATCCAAAGAAGTTATATTGTCTTGGTGTTGAAAGGCTTAATTTATTTTGGGTGAGACTACTATTACGAATTTCATGTTTGAAATACAAAGTATGAGTCAGTGTTAGAAACCTACCTTCTGGGGTGCTGGGTGGGTCAGTCGGTTAAGTGTTTGCCTTTGGCTCAGGTACTGACCTCAGGGTCCTGGGATAGGGCTCCTTGCTCATCAGGGAGTCTCCTGCTCCCTCTGCTCTCCCCCTGCTTGTGCTGCCTCTATGTATCTCTCTCAAGTAAATAAATAAATCTTTTTTAAAAATTTCTTTTAAAGATTTTATTTACTTATTTGAGAGATCACGAGCAGGGGAGGAGCAGAGGAAGAAACAGAGCCCTAGCTGAGCTGGGAGCCCTACGCAGGGCTCCATCCCAGGACCCTCAGATCATGATGACCTCAGCTGAAGGCAGAGGACTTTAACCAACTGAGCCACCCAAGGCTCCCATATAAAAAATCTTAAAAAAAAAAAAAAAAAAAAGAAGAAGCTACCTTTTGAATTTGCATTTAAATTGCTTAATTTAAATGCTTAAAATGCCTTTTTAAAATGGGAAGTTAACTCAGTTTAAAATGGAAAGATGATTCAGTATAATTGTGAGTGAGAGTAAGTACTTGAATCAGCTAGATAGTGTCCTGTCTTAAGAGTTAAGGACATCATTATAATACTCTTGGGGCCTGGTTTGCTAAATCAGAGTGCTGGTTGTTAGAAGCAGCCTTCTTTTTTGTTTTTCAGGTGAAACCTAAGCATTTGTCTTGCATTGGAGTCTGTTGTTTTTTGCTGGCTGCTAGGATAATTGAAGAAGAATGCAATGTCCCGTCCACTCACGATGTAATCCGGATTAGTCAGTGTAAATGTACTGCTTCTGACATCAAACGGATGGAAAAAATAATTTCAGAAAAATTGCACTATGAATTGGAAGCAACTACTGCCTTAAACTTTTTGCACTTGTACCATACTATTGTCCTGTGTCATACATCAGAAAGGTCAGTGGGATGACAAATAAAAATTTTGTACTTAGTGTCGCCATAGCTAACAGTTACGGTGCCACTGAAATTTATATTTTTGCTTTTCTAAATTTTCAACTTGGACTTTCAACAGCAAATTCTTGAAGTCATTTAAATCTTTGGAGGTTTAATAAATATTTTGTCTTGTCTTTTCATTGTATAGGAAGGAAATCCTGAGTCTGGATAAACTGGAAGCTCATCTGAAAGCTTGCCACTGCCGACTCACCTTCTCAAAAGCAAAAGTACGTTGATTTCTTCCCTGCATATGTTTCGCTGTTTCTATTCTGAATTTAAAAAAAACAAAAACAAAAAAACTTTCTTTTTTATTTTTTTAGCCATCTGTGTTAGCTTTGTGCCTTCTCAATTTGGAAGTAGAAACGTTGAAGTCCATCGAATTACTGGAAATTCTTCTCATTGTTAAAAAACATTCTAAGGTAGGTTATCTTCAGTTCTTGTTCCTGAAAGCAGATTTCTCTCCTGATGTTTCGTTTTCTTTTCCCTTCTGATGATTTAAACATTAAGTAATACTTTATGGGGCTCTTAACTTTTGTACTTCTTCTTGTCTTCTCAAGTGTTGAGTTTGTTAAAATGTAGCTTTGTCGCAGACGGTATGAAGCCGTGGGGGAACCTGAGTACTTAGCGTCGCTTCTTTCCGTGTTCATGGCATTCTCGCCAGTGGGTGACATAATGGTCCACATTGCTCCATGTGCGTTGTTCTAAAATACATAGTAGTTAGTAGACTTAGTAAATACACTAATGGCAGGCCGTTACATCTGTAGGGCTGAATTGTCATCCCACTAGTGGCATTACCAAAATAACTTAGCCGTATTTTTCCTTTTAAACCTCTTCATTTGGCCCTCCTGAGAAGTTTTGCAGTCAGGGGTGTTAGCGCTAATAGGGAGTGCTTTGGCTTTTGTTAGGACAGACTCAAGCACTGGGACTGTGAGTCCAGTTGGACCAATAGAATCTTCAACAATGATAGTTTGTGTAGCAAAGGCTCGCGGTCAGGAAGCTGGAGGACTCGTAGGGTTTGGGAAACATTTAAATGTAGGCTTAGAGTGAGAATGTCTAGGGGATAGTCAGCAGTAGAAATAAGGATATACAGCTCAAATAGTTTTGGAAGCCAAGCATGGAAATGAGTCAGGGAGTCACAGATGACCAAGATTTGAACCTAATGATGGGAAGAATATTGATGCCATTGAGGGAAGTTTGGGAGAGATGAATTTGTGATCAAAGAAGCATGGTTTTAGGTACTTGCAGGTCTTTCAGATAGGTAGGTATTTAGCAGATACTTGGCAGCCTAGAATAAAAACTCAGGATAAATTAGAGTTGGAGATTGAGATTTGAAATTTCTCATGAAGAAATAATAGTAGAAACCATAAGAAACTTGCGGGAGTTCTTTGCTTAGGGGTCAGCTGAAACTCTGGGTTTTCACTGTTGGTGATTTCCCCCTTAGGCGAGGGAAGGAGGGTCTATGAGATAAGCGCACTGTCAGGTTGAAAAAGGTTTTCGAGAAGTATTGCTGCTCAAGAGTACGGAATTTCAGTGAGCGACCAGCATAGAGAGAATCGAAGGAGGCTGTTAGATGCGGCAGCAGGAGGTGTCTGTAGAACGAGAAGCGAGTCAGCCAGCCTGTGGGGGTCAAGATGTGGCTGGATTAGGTGCTGATGGAGACCAAGATGATACAACGTTTTCTGTTGGTGATGAAAGTATTCATGAAGCATTTTCTTTTAAGCAAATAACTTCTGGTTTTCATTTAAATTTTCAATTTATTCATACTTTAGATCTTTAGTAATGTCTGGAAATACCTTTTTTTGAAAGATTTTGCTTATTTGACATAGAGTGCACAAGCAAGGGGAGCTGCAGGCAGAGGCAGAGGGAGAAGCAGGCTCCCCACCGAGCAGGAAGCCCGTCGCAGGGCTTGACCTCAGGACCCCGGGCTGAAAATAGATGCTTAACCAACTGAGCCACCCCGATGCCCCTATCTGGAAATACCTTGAGTTGAAAATGTATTCATTGAAATAAGTTGGGACAGTCCTCAGTGGGGGAGGAACTGTGCTCTTTGGGGGAAATGCCTTTTCTGTCATGTTGCTAACTTTTCCATTAGCATATATCTGGTGTCCTAACATAGACGCATATTTTCGGCAATCACACAGTGATGTGTTATAGAAACCCTAAATTATGTGAAATTCCTTTCACTGAGACTGTTAAAGAACATGCTTAATAATAGGTTGATTAAATAACCTAATGTTCTTGGGTCAATGTATTTCCTTAAAATAGGCAAAGATTGTTATTAGGGTCTACGTAAATTATTTATACCTATACTGCTCCTCCCTTAAACCATTGGTTACCAGATTTTGTGGATTCGGATCCCTCGGGGAGCTTTAAAAAGCCTTGGCGCCCAGGTTACATGCCACAAGGGATAGGAACACCTGCTGGTGGGCGCCGCGCGTCGGTGTACTGTAGGTGTTACAGGGTGATTCGAAGGTAGCCAACCTCTTCATTAAAATACTGTTTTCCAGGTTAACGATGCCGAGTTCATTTATTGGAGGGAGTTAGTTTCTAAATGCCTCGCTGAATATTCTTCCCCTGCGTGTTGCAAACCAGACCTAAAGAAACTGGTTTGGATCGTTTCGAGGCGCACAGCCCAGAGCCTCCACAGCAGCTACTATAGTGTCCCTGAACTGCCAACGATTCCCGAGGGGGCGTGTTTTGATGAAAGTGAAAGGTAAGCAGGTTCCTTGACTAATTAGACTTCCCTGTAGTAAACAATGCTGATTTTACACTCAAAATGGAACCTAGGAGTATCACAGGGTTTTAGAGAAAGCCCCCACTCCAGTAGCCTCGTTTCTTCAGGTGAGAAAAGAGCTAGAGGTGAAGTAGGTGGTGATTGAGAAGGATGCCCTCCCGTCCCCCCTCTTTTTCTTTATTAAAAAAAAAACAAAAACAGGATGCTTTGCTGCTATGTCCCCAGGAATTGTAACTGGAAGTTTGTGCCCCTGTTGACCACTTCACCTGTTCTCATCCCCTGCCTCTGGCAACCACTGGGCTATGAGGTGTGGTTTTTGTGTTTCTCAGTTTTCGATTCCGCACATAAGTGAGGTCGTACGGTGTTTGTCTTTCCTCTGACTTCATTCCTTCCCTTTTGGAAAACTGGTTGTCTCACCTCTCCCTTGCTCTTGGAAATAGAGTTCAGTTTAAAAACAGATGAAACCTGAAGTGGCACTCTGGGCTTCTCAGGGTTAGCAGGGATTCCTCCCGTGGTGCTGTGAGAAGAGGGTGTGGGTCAGACGACCGGAAGATGAAGGGAACCACCACGGCCGCCGCGGACTTCCCGGGATACTTCGACCATTTGGTCAAGTGCCACTGTCTCATTCAGTTAATTTTTGTTCATAAAATGAATAATTTTATTTGTTTATTTTATGCTCTAGTGATAAAGAACAAGAAGTTTCATTTTTATAGCTGCTGGTTTCTTGGTTTGAGCGTAGCAGGGATATAGTTACTAAGGCAAGAAGGACCTCAAAACTGTGGTGGGAGACGCGTTGTCCTTTGTCTCCACTTACTGGATTTGAACTGCTTAGAATTGTATAGTTGCTGATATTTATTAATTGGTACAAGAATAGTAGTTTGTCTCAGCCTCTTAAGATATGTGTTCTCTAAGGAGATTATAATAGATTACAGTTGATTTTAGGGAATCCCTATAAGTTAAGTTTTGTCTGCGTAAGGCTTAAATTTTGAATATAAAAATCCTGAAACTGGAGGTACTTGTTCAGTAATTTTATTTGGCTTTTAAAGTCTTTAAATATTTTCTAAATGGAATCTTCTTTGTCTTTTTTCCCCCCTTCAGTGAGGACTCCGGTGAAGATATGAGCTGTGAAGACAGTCTGAGCAGCTCTCCTTCCAGTGATCAAGAGTGCACTTTCTTTTTCAACTTCAAAGTGGCACAGACACTGTGCTTTCCATCTTAGAAACCCAGTTGTTCTGTGTGAGAATTTACTGTGTGTGCGGATTACAAAGCAATAAATGGGGGAGTAGGTAGTTTTCTGGTCCGTCCCCCGTCTAGACAGGAATCGCTTAGACTGGGATACCTACCTTCTATTTATTATTCAGATCAGATCTGGCCTATTTTCATATTTAATCCTAAGCCATCAAATGGGTTAGTGCCTCTTAAACGATTAACAATCTTTTACACATTGGCACTTTATTTTTCTCATCAATCTTTAGCTGTTTAGGGGAGGAGGGAAGGTGCTGATACCTTCAATTTGTTACTTTTCAAGAAGATTTTTAAAGATGAATAGTGTAGCTTATCTTAAAACTTTTTATAAAGCCTTCATCTGTCCTTATTTAAACAGATTGGGAGTGTACGAGTACTTCCTTCGCAGGGACTGTGGATGACCCCTGAATGGTTTATCATAGATCTCCCCTAGTCTCCGGTCTCCGAACAGAGAATATACTCTCCAGTGTCATACACATTTTGTTGTTTTGTTACTCTTTAAATGATCACTTGCTCTCTTATGCAGACTCTATAAACTTAGGAATTATAATACTGACATTTCTGTGAATTTTAGTATGTAATGTGTTAATTGAAGTTTCTGCTGAAGCAGAAATACTTGACAGGCTACGGTTGTTAGATAGTTGCATTTTTAATGCCTAAGTACTGTCAGACTATAGTATTATTTTAATGTTATTAAAACAATCCATAATCTGTTAGTTATGCATGCACCTGTATGAAAGCAGTGCAGGAAGTTGAAGAGAACTAGGTAACTGTGGAATTGATAAACGTTGATCTAGTAACATTTTACTTCTTTTTCTTACATTCAAAAAGTCTGCATGATTATGTTATTCCTTTGTAATTCACATTTCAAAAATAATGGTATGAGTGTATGGGTGCCAAGACTGAACATGAAGGTTAAAAAAAAAAAAAAGTTAAGTGTTTGTAGTATTCTAGTTTTAAGCATATCTGTGTGGTGGTACAGCCATAAGAATAGGGATTTACAAACTCTGTACACATGAGATTTTGTACAGAGAATTTTTTTAACTTTATAAATTGTATATGAAAATGTAAATCTTAAAAAATGTACATAAAAATACTGTATTTTTTTACCCTGTGTGTGTGGTAGTCTAGTCTCCTTGCATGTAAATATAATTTATTGTGTATTCTGTATTATAAATCATACATTGATGACTTTTTTAATGGTAAGTCTTCATTCATTGGATGTTTTCTGAAGTGGGTCTGTAATGATAGATTACAACTTAAAATAAAAATGTTAATGAATTCTACTCTTTGTTTGCAGTTGTATCTTAATACCTTGGTTCAAAAGAAAAAGTGCTTGCTGTGTTTGCATGGGAAGGCTTGGAGTGAGGCTGGAGTGCCTCCAAGATAAGCTCTCTCTCTGGTTACCAGAAGACCTCTAGGTAGTGTTTCTTCATCACAGTTTGGCCCTCAGCCTTGGAGATCCTGAAAGCAGATCTGTCACTTGAGAATTGACCTCTCCCTGGGGTGGACTCATGCGAAACAAAAGAGTGATGTGTTGACCTGAAGGCCTATTAATTTATAGTGAAATGCAGCAGGTATCAAGTACAGCAGGATTCTCAGGTTGGAAGATCAGTACGATTTCTTTCTGCAGACAGGCCATGCTCTAATCAGAAGGTTGCTTGGCAAGTAAATGCTGGAGTGCTGCGACTGACCCTGCCAGCCTCTGGCTCTTTGAACCTCTCTTCCCAACACTTAGGCTTGCTTCGCAAGTCATGGTGGGGTTTATTTGGACAAGGGGGTATATGTTCCACCTCTGGTTTGATTTTGTAGACCCTTGTTTTCTCTAGTTGGTTGGAAAGTCATATACTGAATGAGGTTTTCTTGTAATACTAATACCTCCTCTCTCAGTGATACAGTCATGTTTTCCTAACTCTCCCACTGGAGACTCCTGGCTTGAGGATGACCCTTCCCTTCTTATTAAGCCATGAGGGTGGATAGTAGTATATTCTGCTTTCAGATTTTGTTTTGTTGAGATGTGAAAGTTATTTGTGGCTTTCCAAATCTTAAAGCCCTCTTCAGTTCTCCAGGATTTTGATTGCTTTGCTTTTCTTTTTTTAAAGATTTTACTTATTTGACAGATCACAAGTAGGCAGAGAGAGAGGAGGGTGGTGGGGGATGCAGGCTCCCTGCTGAGCAGAGAGCCCGATGTGGGACTCGATCCCAGGACCCTGAGACCATGACCTGGGCCGAAGGCAGAGGCTTTAACCCACTGAGCCACCCAGGTGCCCCTTTGATTGCTTTTCTTAATAGATGCACTTAATACGTAAATGTACACGCATGGTTTCATCTGTTCCCCTTTATGGTTTTCCGCATACTTAGTCTAGTGGCCTTTACTGAGCTCCCAACTTGTTTTTTCACAACTGGCTACCCCACCTGGAAGTTTCCGATTCTTCCCAAACCTGCTCTTCCTGTATGTCTATCTTGATGGAATAGTATTGTCTACTCAAGTTGGAAACATTGGCAATCTCCCCATCTCCTCTCACCTGTTTACTGGACATTTCCATTTATCGTTTATATGATTTCATTTATACTGTCTGGCTCTACTCTGTCTCCTGTTCTATCAGCAGGATCACTATAGTATCCTAGTCATTTCCTAGGATGTGGCAGTCATGCTTCGTAGCTTCTGCCTTTCTGCATGCAGTAGCATCACTGCCTGGTCCCTGCGTCTCCACCCAGTTGACCCTCAGGAAGTGCGATTGGACAAATAGCTATGTTTTCATCGCCTGTCAGCTATGGATGCATTCGTTGCAGAACACTTCTCATGACAGTTTTAACCATTTTCTTTGTCAAGGATTTGACTTCTCCCTTCATTTCCTCTCATTTCCACACTCTAACATGATGTTCCTCCCCCTTGCCTCCTGCCTTCCCCTGTGCACGTACAAATGGCCAGCTTATTTAGGCAACCCATTTTTATCAGATTCCTGTAGGGACAAAGACCATGTAGTCTGCATTTGTCATTTCTGAACCGAGTTTTTCTAATTTTTTGTACCAGAAATGGGTGAAGAACCTACCGTTCTTGTGTTTAGCAAGTCAGGTTGCGCGGTAGATAGTTTCCCAATAGCTATTGGGTCTTCCCAGCCCTGTGCGCACACACTGCTCTTCCCGGCGAGAGAGGTGGAGTCTGTTCCCCTTGAATTTCATGTAATTGTCCTTAGTTTTACTTGTCCCTAGTTTTGTCCCTAGTTTTACTTGCTAGAGTGGAAGAAGTTCAGTGTATGTCCAACCCTATGCTTTAAGAAGACTGGCAGCCTCCTGTTCATCCTTGGAGGCCGGCCAGATGCTGCAAAGAAGCTCAGGTTGGATTACTGAAAGACGAGAGGCCAGGTAGAGAGAGGCTCTTGAGGACGAGAGATCATCTGGGATGTTCTAGTTTGCCATGAGGTATCTTCAGGTACAACACACAGAGCTTAGGAACCCACTCAAGCCGCAGACTCATGAAAAATAAATTGTTTCAAGCCACTAGCTTTTGGGGTGGTTTCTTATACAGCAATAATTAATCTAGACAGGTTGCTTGTTATTTATAGTCCCATGGTGTTTGTCTCTGAGTGATGAAATTACAGGGATTGTTCTAATAATGCTTAGGTCTAGTTTCCACTCTCCTTTAAGAATGGATTTAAATTATTAGTGTATTAACAGAATAAAGAATGAACTAGAAAAAAACACACACTGATTATGTCCTTTCTTTGATTGAAATCCTTTATGGCTTCACATTGGTCCTCAGCATGAAGTTCAAACTCCTTTCCATGGCTTCTAAGACCCTGCTTGATTTGATCCCTGTCCAAGCCTGTCCCTCACGGCATCCGCACACATCTTTCCAGCCTGATTGCGTATCAGCTCCTCCCGTTCATTGTGCTCTCGCTCACCGCAGGAACTTCATGCACACTTTCTCATCTGTCTGGCACACCTTTCCCGGCATCCTCATCTGGCAAACTCCTGCTTTCCACTGTAGGACTCACTTTATTTATCCCCCAGGTATCCGAGCACCTCTTAACGTGGCAGGTGCTGCACTAGAAGTTTGATACATAAAACCAAACACAACACACTGTGTCCCTGCCCTCATGCGACTTAAATTCGCATGAAAAATGCACAGCAAAGAATATCATTTTTAAAGGTTATGATGGTATTTTCTTCCAAGAAATCTTTCTGGAACTCCTTTACTTTCCTATCTCAGTGCTACATGCTTCCATAAAGCTGTATTTTTCTTATCCTAGCAGTTGATGCCTTGCTTGTTTGTCTCTGTGCGCTCCCCTTGCCTGTCGGACTGGAGAAGGCAGAGGCTCTCTGTCTTCCTTATTCATCCCTGAATCCCCAGCCTGGTCTCTGGCTCAAAGGCCTTCTCCTGCAGCTGTTCTTTACTGACCTTACTGCTCACTTTATACGCTTCAGGAACCTTGTAAGGACTATTTAACTTTTGCCACAGCCTATTAGACAAGTACGGCTATTGGTCCCATTTTACAAGGAAAGAAACGAAAAGATTAGAGAAGTATCTGGATGACATAGATCTGATGGGTGGGGCTGAAATTCAAACCAATCTGTCTGGCAAACTATGTTCTTTCTTAAACCACAATGCCAAAGTCATATCCAGATGTCGATGGTGCTCATTGAACAGTTACTGAATGAATGAAATAAAGTTCTTATAAAGAAAGCTCTACTCATTACACCAGTAAGATAAGCCACAGTATTCTCTTCGATTTTTAAGCGCTTTTACCCATATAAGGAAAACGCAGCTAAGAGAGTTAAAATACCTCGTGGTAATATAAAAATTCAAGACAGTACAGTGTACAGAAAATGAGGTCTCATCAAAAGCTGGGGATTTAAATTTTCCCCAGAAACTTCTTTGTGCTCAGGCATGCACGCCCTTCCCGCTGCCTAGTTCCTTTTCAAGCTTAAGTTATAGTTCAGACTTTATCATTACCTTGGGTTCCAAGGCCCACAGTCATTCGACGTTCAAGGGGGTAGAACCTTGTATTAATTAAGGACTGTTTTGTTAGAGGTTTGCTTGCCCTTTGCCTGTCTTATTATTATCCAACACAACCATCATTTCCCACTTACTCATTTATGTTCTGGGATTTTTTCCAGTAATTATTTCATGTGCCTGTGGTTTATCCTTTCATCCAAACTCTAAAACTTCTCTTGAGAAGAGACCGTGTGTTACGCTTCCTTTTCATCACTCGCGGTGCCAAGTCTAATGCTGGGTAAAGCCTGTGTCAACATTTTTCTACATGTATCCCACTGGATGGTGTCTTTGCCGTTCCTGACTGTGGTGATTCAGAGTTCGGAAACATGAACTTCCACGCGTGCAAGATGGATTCACCCTCTCCAAAGGTAGGATTTCACTACAATACTGAGGCAGGCAGGGGGCCATCGCCCACGGCTACACAATTGTGCACCTTCCTCCTGAGTAAGACGTAGTGATCAGAAACACTCTCCCTCTCACCAGACAGTCCAGGTTTGAACCCAGTTTGGCCTCTCAGTATGTGACCTGACTGGCTGTTATCTAAAGTGTTTGTGCCTCAGTTTCTCTATCTATGTAAAGGGTCAATAACATTACCTACTTGTATTGGACACAGAAATGTGTTGCCTAGATGCCCCAGCTGTTGGGAGTGCTTTTGGCACAAAACCTTCAGCTAAAAACCCCTCTGGGGCAACACACCCTGAGAGCAGCCCCACCCAAGGTCATGTCTTCCCCAGGAGGGCCCACATCTATGACAGATTAAGGTGAGAGGAGGTGTAAAGTTTCGGTCACTTTGGTCCAACACAGGACAACCTGATGGATCACTTCCGTCTCGGAGCTCCCTGTGGCTTGGCTGAGGCTGCCGTTGGGCCTGCATGAAGGTTCACTTTCTTGCACCCACACTTGCTTCTTTCCCTTCAC